GTAATTTCCTCTAAGCACAATTTGTATTGTATTAAGAATTGGGCTGAATAAACTATTCAGAACCTGTCCCTCTTACGGATTGAGGATTTTCTGCAGATCTTGATTAAAACAGCACTTGATTGAGCCGGCACCAGACGCATTCATTTAAATGTTAAGAACCAGACAGGCTTTTATGTATTTCGTTTTATTTTATACGAGAATATGAAAGCCTTAAACTTAGGAAAGTGTTCATTTTAAGAAGTAGTTTGTGTAATATTTATTTATATCTTTGTTTTATGCACTTATTTATTTACATCTTTGCTGTATGCACTTGTCTATTGACAGAAACCGAACTGAAATTATTTTCAAAAATCTACCTGCCTTGATGATGTCATTCTTAAATATCCTTCCTACACATTATTTTCAAATAAAAAAAATAGTGTCAGATACAATTTGAAAGGAATTGTTCCAGTTCCAGACATTGAAATCTTTTGGATATGTTGACTGGCACAAATGTTCAGATGCTGATCCAGAGTTATTTTTCTTCTCCAATCATTTCACTGAACCACGACCAACTGTGACAGATGGGACTGGAGGCGGGGTGTAAACTCAGGTGGGCATGCTCTATGGATCCAGGTACTTTTGTTATAGTCAGGTCGTTTTAGTTTCATGCGCCACTGAGAAACTTTCATAAGAATGATCAGGGCCCACCCTCCAACGCTGTATCCAGTTCTCTTTATACATCCATTAACATCTACTAAAAGTGTTTATTTTTGCAAGTGATAGTAAAAGTGTCTGAAAAATGTAAAAGACCTTCAGAGAGATATAACATTTGTCTTCAAGATTTTCTTTCCCCGATCTGTTAGTTATTGAGTCAAACCAAGCAGAAGACATACGGTCCTTTACATAATAATGTCAGACACATAAGCATGATAACAGCCTGAGCCCCTCGGCGGCACAAACTAACACTTTTAGTGGGATTACTTTGGGGTGCACAATTCCCAAATTACATTGAAACCCTTGTCTGTGGCCGCTTTCTGCACCACTCATTACTTGAACGATTTAAAAATTGTTGTTTGGTTTATCATGATGTTGAAAATAAGTGGTCAGTGTTTGATTCTGGACGGGATAAGATTTTCTCTTCTGGAGGGTAAGTGCTCCAACCAACAGGGACAATACTGAGAAACGTCTGCACCCATATCATGCCTTTTGGAGTGTTTGTCATCTGTCATTTCATTGGTGAATAACAGTGTTATAAGTTACCTTTCTGGTGTCTGTTAGCTTTGGTTTGGCAGCATCTTCATCAACCTTGAATAACTTCTCCACGCTCAATTCCTTGGTGGGCTGCAAAGGAAAAATATTTACATGATTAAAGATTTCATATTTTTTCTTTTTGTTTACAGCTTGGTGACAGGGTAACCTGACTCATAAAAGTGATAATGTTCTGCCAACGTTAGGGGAAATGCCTATTCCCAGTGACAGTCGTTTGAAGGAGTGCAGCTGAGTGATGCCTGCTCTGAGGAGAGGAGGGCAGGCGATGGGACTCCTGTGCAGTGGCGTAGCTGTGGGTGGGCCTGGGCCCACCCACATGCACGTCTGGCCCACCCACAGCCAATCAGCGCTTTATAGCGCAGAGCCGGGAAGCCCAGAAGGAAGTGCCACAAACTGCAGTTCTTCTAGTGGCCAACAGGGGATGGATGCAGAAAGGAGCAATTTCCATAGACCCCCTTGTTAAAATGCCCAACTTTGCAGCAGAAATAAACATGTTTCTAGCCTGGGTCCAATACAATTTANATGCATGATCTGTTTGGTATTTTGAAAACAAAACTTCACAGACATGTTTTATATAGGTATGGCCCTAGAATATATGTTTCAAATATAGCATGATAGGTCCACTTCAAGCAACACATTAAGTTGACGAAA